TTAACGGGCTGACGTTTATAGACCATTACGATTGAGTTTTCACGCGCCAGGGTGCATCGTAAAATCCTATCCGCTCCTCCTTGTCCGTCGTTGATAAGTCAATCCCCACGGAAGTGTTCCGTTCGCGCAATTATCGATGCCATCTCGAAATGCTTCCCACCCCCTCCCCACCCACCGACGAATAATCGATGAAATTGTGGCGGTAACGAAAACCCTCATTAATCCGTACCTCTTCCGCGCGTGTACTTTTCCACTTTTAATTACACGACCCCACCCCCGAACCGTAATTTCCAGCCGCGTAAATGAAAATCCTCCGGGCTAACAGGATCATCGGAGACGAATTAAGCGAATTTGCGTGTAATCGCGAAGTCCCTACGCGAACTTCCAGTACCTTCAATTAACGAAGCTTATTTTAATCATCCTCGATCAACCGTGGCCCTCTCTCTCGACTGCGTAATAATCTCGTCCCCTGGAAGAACGTCTATGTCTGGCACGCCCTGCAATCGCCTCTGGTCGCTGACCGTGTAGACTACCACGGATCTCGTCTTTACGTTCAAACGAACGGGAACCACCGGTCGAGATCGGCGAACCAACGAAAATTAATCGTCCAGTAAACGACACCGTTCACACGGCAAATTATTGGCCGCGCGCACTAGTACAAAGAGATTGTATTATCGTTAATTTTACGCAACTGAGTAGAACGTGTGCGCGAACCAGCAACGTTGTATCGAGCGGGATCGTCGCGATGATAAAGATAAAGGTAAATTGCCATTAGAAAAAGTCGTTGTGCGGGCAACCCGGCCATGCATTTAACTGCACGCGACAGTATGCATAATATAGATAGGCCGTCGATAAAACCGAACGGCGGAGTACAATCCACGAGGTGGCAGGGGGTCGCTCTATGAGCTTTCGAGGCTGTCGCGATTATCAGGGAACGCTAACGACGAGCTGTTCTCCTTCGACATGGGGGCAGTGTTAATTTTCCTCCCCCCCTTTTCCCCTCCTGGCGGTCCCTCACCACTGTTTCGGATCGGTATGATCGACGACGTGCCTCCCATGGGTCCTTGTATTTATGGGGCTCGAGATTAGCTCGCCGGAGACCCCCGGCTGCAACCTTTTCGCCCCGCGACGCGGAAGACGACGTTTATGGGATCGCGACGTAATCGAAAAACCTTATCGTCCTCTCTGCCGCATGAATAACTTTATCCGGTTCTTTGCCACGGGTTTTTCGTTTTTACCCGCCCTGATTCCATGTTCCGCGTCTTTTCCCCCTTTTAAATATGTATTTTTTACAGGGTGTCCGAGGATTATCACGGGTAAATTTCACCAGTTGTTTTTTTCTCGATTGGATATTCGAATTTCGTTTCTCATCAAATCAAAAGAAACAAATCTATATTTTTTTTAGTAAATAAATAACTGGCACCCTAAGTATACATGTAGTGTACAATCGATCCCGGTTCGTCTCGATTGCCTTTTGTAATTCGTGCACCGAACAAGTGGAGAGGGAGATGTTTGGTATTATCGTGACGCCATCGGAGCGCATTATTTTCGGAGATACCGATCCTGTATACGAACGATTCCCTTAATGAGTAACGGGTCGATCGAGCAATGATTTCGTTGGATCTCGAAATCGCCGGAGCTACGCGGATCAAACCGTCTGGCCTGTGTTCTACCCTTCGTCCCCGACCCGTAGACTACGAGAGTGGGGTAGATAAAATCTGTATTACGTTTAGGGACGCACAGAGCGACCGCGTGCAAACCTATTAACGTGTGCGCGTCGCGTCGCATCGCGACGGTGCGTCGCGTCGAGGGCCACGGGGATAACCGTCCGTTGGATCCACGTGATTTACGCGCGCGCCATGGCTGCTACGAATTCCAAAGCTTCCTATTAACCGGACCGAACCGTGTGCTCGCCCTTCGTTCGTAACGAATTTTGAAAAACGATTTTATCGGCTAGGTACCCGATCCGCGACCGATAAGTAACGCTGGTCGACGCCGAACCCCGGTCGTGATATATTTCACCGTCCTGGAGGGTGGACAGTCGCGTAATTGCGGCATACATCTCCCCTTCTCCCCCTTCTAATTTCGCTATAAGTTTCGCATTATGGTTGGAAAAACCGCCGCCAGCCAGAAACAATTCAACCCCTTTATATTTTTCCCAGCGACACGCGCCGTACCGAGACGCCTAAGGACACTTTAATCGACGAAATTTCCGCTGGTTCTCCGCGGTCCACTTCCCCCCGCGACATAAATTCCCAATTTTGCGTCGCGCCGCGAAGAAGTTTAATTACCGGCCGTCCGAAACTTTTAAACCGTTTCCGCTTGTCGGCGAACACCGTGTCTTGTTCGTACTTTTCGTCTCAGCTGAGGTAAGAAAGAACGAGCCGTCGCAGCGATTTCTAGACGGCTGGGATGCTTCCCTCGATAGGGACCACACTTCGAATCGAATTCATTCTTAAATTTATTTTTCGTCGGAAGCTCGAGCCTCGGCAATAAATTATGGGCTTCGCAGGTTCCACGCTTTCCGACAAATAAAGTAGTGCAGTTTTCCAATCTAAACACAGTGCTTTATTTCACACCAACTCATAAACTTCTTCCACAGAAGTTAACCAGTATTAGCCACGAACTCTAATAGTTTGACGCGCAACAATAATCGTCTTTAAGTCTCTTGAGACGACGCGCCCTAGCAGGTGTTAATCAATCCTGCCTAGGTGAATCTACAAGCTGAAAACGATTCCGTGAAGTCAGATTGCGTAATGTTTTTCTCATTGATCGGAAAACACAGCGGGATCACTCGTTTCTGTACGATGCTTTTTTACCTCAAGAGAAATAGAGCGAGAGAGAGAGAGACTGTAATGTCAAGGGTAGATAGCCCGAACGATTCACGGGAATCCACGATAATGAGACCGAACGAATGGTTCACAGAACACCGTCCGTCCGCCACTCGATCTCTGGCTTCGCCGAACGGGATCGCTACACTGTTTATCGCGCGATCCTAACGCGCCGCTATAAATTATCCGAACGGGCGGCCCGTGCGAGCCTCTACGCGGAAAGTGTTCACCGCCGTGCGCCGGTTTTCGCAGTCGGTCGTCTCTTCGTCGAGGATGGTTTATGGACTCGATAGCGCCGTACAGTTACCTTGATTCCTCGGTCATTATCATTCCCGACCTTCCCCCGCGGATCAACAGCTATCTCGATGAACCACGTTTTGCTGGGCCGAGATCCCGGCCAGGAAGTTTCTGCTTGAAAATGCACGCTCGGGGATGGTAATTTCACGATAACGGATCGTTCGCCGCTTCGACCCTGGTGTTTACTCTCTCAATAATAATGAACGCAAGGGCGTTGCTGTGTATTTTCACACAGACTCCGCTCGATCATTGTATCTTCCCGGAAGGCTGTTGCCTTCGAATCTGATTCCGCGATCTTACTTCGCCATTTCGAGATTTTCGCGTGTACGCGTGTCCGCACTTCCAGTTGATGTCAAGGATTCATTAGAAATCTTGCATTGGAGTTCTCAGATTTTCAAAGATCGGTACAGAGGAGTCTTAAATTAAGAGTTCGAAGGTACGATCGTGGGATTAATCGAATCGCTGTTTTGCATGATCCGATTCATCCAGAAACTGTTTCGTAACGAGAAACTAAGTAAATAAATAAATAATTAATACTAGTACTACCAACAATTACCGTATACCTATTCCCATCTGATCGAGAAGAATGATAGTTTTACGAAACTACACAGATTTCTAAGTTAATTCATTTCTTAATCTGTATATTGCAATGAAAATTGCGGGAAATCTCGTGAAAGGCACTGTTACAACATTTTAATCACTTTTACAAGAGTTTACCAACCCGTTATTTTTACTGCTCTGGTAGATCCACTGTTAACCTCTTCTGGCCACTCGACACATTTAGAATGTCCGATGATATGCTGCGATCAAGTCGCCTGCAGATCGATTCGATTTGAAAACTCGTTTCGCAGCAATTCCGTATAGATCGCGTTGTAAAATGCCAGTTCAATCGTGAGTGATAAACATATCCTGCGAATCCTGACAGTGTTTCCAATTCTGTTCCAAACCGAATGCAAAAAAAGTCTTTGAAGCTTCTGCATCACGGCCTCCGATGGAAACGCAGCCAGTGTACTCTCATTTCGCAAATGCCATGGGAGAGCGATGGAAATCAGTCCGTGGGTGCCGCTGGCGCTGCGGGGACAAACAGGCGGAATCGAAAAGAAAAAGCTGCTCGTGTATTGCACACGAAACAACAGGACGATGCACCACGCAAGGTACCGTTGCACTTCCGGCCAAAGGACGCCAATGGTGGGAGAGGGTGGGATCGAGCACGTGGCCCCGCGAATTCACCCCGCGACGCGAGACGAAGGTCGTCGCGAAGAAAGAAGAAGGCTGGGCCGATTGAATAAGGGCGGGAGCAGCGATCGTGTTGCGCGCGCAGCCACGGGCCACGCTGCTCCCGGTGGCTAGAGAGGTGGCCGCGTGGTCGGACCGCTTCAGTAACTCCGAAACCTTCGAGCGAGAGAGTCACGTCCGATCTCGTACCCGAGCGAACGACCGAGACGCGCCAAAAACACTTTTACTTCCGTCGCGTGTATTTCGCCAGCGACGTTGCTCTCTACCAATTTATACCGTCGTGTCGTGTGTACACCTTCTACAAAAGGAATTGAAAACAAGAAAGAACTATACGAAGATACATCGAGGTTCTGCCCGATGAATATTTCGTGACTGTTTACAAACGTCTTGGAGCGTGATCCCGTGTATTCGACCACAATTCTTTGTGTTCTCGACGAACCGTACGATATCGTGCCTTTTCCTGGTGACAGATTAAATCTACTCGAGATTCTTCGGTTCTGGACGATTGTTTACAAACTATTTGCGTGACTTCCAGGATCTAGAATCCTCGAAGAATTAGCATCGAATCCGTCCGTTACCAGTCGATCCAGTCGACTTACAGTGCCGTTGCAAGTTCTCCGTGTGTGATGGTCCCGAGTTAATCGAGCCTTCACGCGCGCGTGGGAACGTTACCGGTTGTGCCGTGCGTGTTTTGACCTCCGTTTGAAACTGGTTCTCGCGACGATGGCGATCCGTGCGATCCTTCTCGCGAGCCTCGCGATCGTAGTCGTTCTGTCGGAACCGATCGACTTCGCGCAGCCCCGCGTGACGGTGCTGAAGTGTTGCCGCGACATGGAGGAGCTGGTCCGTGAATCGGACGGCGAGCCGGAAACGTCGACCCGCTGCGAAGCCACTAAGAACCAGTGGAAACCGTTCATCTACTCGCCGTCCCAGCAAATGTTGCTGAACGCGCCACCGGCCGAATGGGACATCGTTCAGGGAAAGAAGCCGGAATGTGGGGACAACTCGGAGCTGACCTACGTGCCCTACAGAAAGACCAATCCGTTCGTGTTGCTCGACGACGGTCTGGCGATGCTCGACGTACATGCACGGGACAGATTCGAACCGGGCGATTATTGTGCGGACTCGAACGCTCTGCTGATCTGCGTGCCGAAGAGAATGGAGGGAAACCACGCTGCCGCGACCATGAGGCCACGAGTTCGGCAGTGCTGCGGCCATAACGCTGTTTTCCACGACGAAAAGTGAGTTTCCAGTTGATATTTCCAGGTGTTCAGAGCCTGTCTACAGAGATTCTTGTTGGAACTTATTTTGGAGTAATAATATATACGGTATTGCTGGTTTTTTTAATTTATGTTTTGGTTTGTTTATCTTATGGTAATTATAAGACGTGACGGAGTATCTTCAAGGTAGGACTCGTGGTAGTGATTCTTCTTGGGCGGGTTAATACAGATTTAAGATTGACGTAGATTCTTGTAGATTGAGGATTAAATTCCGGGAGGAGGATTTCTATTAGGTTAGATAGCTTAATAGGGCGTAGCAGACGTCTAGTAAATGAACGATCCGGGTCCAGGGTGTCTGGGATACTCCTTTTCTCTCTACAATCTGTGACTAATGTCAGTCTAAACTCGTTCGGAGGGGTTAGTATAATGTGAATCTGTCAGGTTTGGACCACGGGATCTGACACAGCCCGTATCTCACGGGCACACTTGGTCTATGGACGATTAGATTAATATTACAGTCCATTATCCGGATAGATTGAGACTGAAACGGGACCGTAAACCATCGGCAACAATACACCTGATATCAATTATCTCGTCACGCTTTAAACACGGGTGTATCTATGTTTACATGTCCCCGAATGATTGAAAGTCAGGGAGTCAATGTCCTGATTCGCCGGTATGTACATACACGAGAAAAAACAGTGTCGTAATCCTTCGTTGTTGAGGTGACAGGTAGATTAACTGGGAAATAAAGACTACGTAAACGCTTAAGAATAGCATTGAAGGCTCCGTGACGATCGTGTTACATGTAATCTGAGCGATAAAAGTTTGAGTATTCATTTAGATTCCTGTATTGCAATATTTAAGTATACTTCAGAGGTGCAAAGTATGTTGGAGTCACGCTGATATTGCACTCTCCGATGCTACTAGAACACAGAAAATACATAAACTCAATAACATTCAAAACCTAAAGACCCAAGATAACGTTCAAGAGGTCGTGTTATGATGTCCCTTCGAAAGAAAACAAACCAGTTCGAAGTCTCTTTAAATTGCTCTAACGGTTAAGTACGGGGCACTCTCGAGAGTACAATCCAGCAAAGCCAAACTGAAATTGCACTCTCGAAACCGTAGACATCCTCTGAGCAACCCCCCCCTAAACTAAACTGCAGGTCTACTGACCCTAGGCGCCCCGCTGCGCGTTGCAAAGCATACAAATTTCTGACTGGAAGGGACAGAAGGAAACATCGACACAATAATTGCCGGAAAAACGATAAAAGTTCGGGTATGGGGATGTGGGAGAGACAGAGAAGTCGAGAAAATCGTTCGAACAGCGGGTTCAAGAGAATATTCTACCGTTTCTGGATGGAGTGATCGCCTGGCGACGATTGATGAAATTTATCGGTTTCACCTGACGTGTCGTCGTATTTTTTTATATTGAAAGCTCGGTTCCTGTCGTTCGTGACACGTCCGGGTCAAAAATGAATGATCGCTGGTGCGGGCCACGCCAGAGAAAGAGAGTCACCCTCGAACGCGCGTTGTTTGCGATGCAAGCGTGTGACGGTTCGGGTAAACAGAGAGAACCGCGGGGCTCCGTTTTAATCGCGTTCCCAATCGGCCCGAGTACCGTGGCGTTCCGTGGACTTTGTTAGCATTCTGCGTAGCCAACGCGCGTGTTTCCTAGATAAATTCCTGCGATACGACCTTTCTTTTTTTCTTTCTTTCTTATTTTTTCATGGCGTACGAGGGTTCTATTCCCCGTGTGTCCGATTTCTATTCACGGGTCGAGAGTTTACGTATATGCAGAACGATGGGCGTCCGCTGACAAGGGAAGGACCTAAATTGTGTGATTCGATTTTAACGGGGTTTTGTAAGATGTTAGATGTAGACATTCGATCATTTTAAAGGTATAAACAATGAAAGTTAAGAAGGCAAATTACTGAAGTATAAGGTTGTTTGGCTGAAATATTTCTGTTTTACTTTGTCAATACAATTTCGATAACTTTGACTTTGTATTCATATATCTTGGAGGTTCGTAACTTTGATTGTTTATATCTTTAAAATTATCGAGTTTCTACACTTAATATTCCATAAATATCATTAGGAACACTGTATAGTATAATTTCACAAAATCCTGTTAAAATCGAAGTCTGACAATTGGGGTCCTTTCCATGCAAGTACGAATTCCACACGTGACTCCGCATTTTCAATCAACGTGACTCACAAACTCTACCGTAACCCGATGTCAACGCACTCTGTTCAGAAAACGAAATATTTCGACTTTCTCTACTCGATTCGTGTGTATATCACTCGAGAGAGAATCGCTGGATGGCTACTGCGTTAAAGAGAACACTTTCACCCATGTTCTTAAGTACCATTTGTATATATATATGTAGGGGAGAGTTGCCTATTTTGGACCAATTTTTTATTTCTTTCTCTTACACAAGCATAGAACATCGCAGGTATAAGATAGTAATGTTCGCATTGTATAAAGGTAAAAATGTTGCAAAATGCATAAAGAAGGAAAAAAAACATATATGAGCTTATGATGCAAATGGGTTAACTCGATATACCCAACGGAAAATCTGTAAATATATTTTTTTATAGAGATACACAAATGGTCCAAACTAGGTGCTGGTCCAATATAAGCAATGCTCCCCTATATATTTACCTACATCCTCAAATTTTAAATAGAGATATCTCGATGATTGCATTCGATCGATCAGAGGTACACCGAAAAATTTCTAATTGTTACAGGCACACATGCGCGATCCTGAAGGAGGCCGTGGACGACACGCCGTTGCTACCAAACGCATCCTCCGCCGTCGAGATCGTGCCCGGTTTTCCGAGCTGTCCACGTTTCGATAATTTCTCGATCGTCGGTGACACTAAGGACGCGATATTGTTACCAGACGGCGGCATGGAAATCGGCGGTGTCACTTTACCAGCTGGCCAGTTCTGCGTCGAGAGGATCAAGGAGCTAAAGGTGTCAAAGGTGTTCGCCTGCGCCGAACACGATTCCCAAAGGTTCGTAAAAAGATTTTCTTACTTTTTTTTTTTTACACAACTCCTTTTGCCGTATCACAGGCGCAACCACGATTCTGTTCGATAGCCACGGTTACGCGTGGCGTAAGTTTATTACGTTTCCTTCTCGTTTCTCGAGACCGCTCGGGCACGATTTGCTCTCGTTAGCGCTGCGCTGCTGGTCCTCGAACTTGATCGTGTTCCGAGTCGACGGAACGCACGCGTTTCTTCGTTAATCAAAATTAACGTAACGAGACGAACGCCGGCTGGTAAGTCGCCCGGGAAAATGCACGACAACCGAGCGCGAAACGGTGAGTAATGGATAAACAAGCTGTGCTCGACCGTCTGAAATAATAATTGCCTCGCGTACGCGGTTTTCGGGATTCACGGATGCGAATCGGGGTTAACCGTGTAAATGCAGCTCTCTCGGGCACCTTTTAATTTATTTCCGATCGATCGACCCGGGTCTGCTCGGTGTGGCCCACTTCGAACCAGCCGGGAACGGATGTTTTTCTTTTTTTTTCTCGCTCGAGGTGGGTATCGACTGATCCGATCTGGATTTATCGTATGGCTTAATTGCAACGTTCGATGTAGTACGTATTCCCCGACGAGGTGCCGATACGCCCGACGTTACTCCGGCTTCGATTGACGACACCGCCAGAAAAAAGTCGGCTGCCTCACTTTCACTCCTCTCTCTCACGAAGAATTTCTAGGTCACATCCGTGGGTTACTGCGCGTCATCCACGAGCGCGTTCCAGGTCGGCGATGACCCACTCCAATCGGAACGAACCTTTTTTTTTCCATCCCCGACCTGTCGATAACGAAAGGAAAAGTACATACTTGAGGCCTTGATACTCGTATCGTTGGTATTTTCTTTTTTTCTTGGAATAACAGAATCTGTAGATTTTATTGTGTCGGTTGTACCTGTCCCGTTGCAACGAGTGTCGACAGAGCCTTCGTTGTAACAGGTGTCTTGAATGAATTCTTAAAGATATACATACACTAGCGGCGAAAAATATGGGGAGCCCAGGTGTCGATAATTAAAGAAAGAGAAAAATATTATTCTCCACATATTTGATAAAAGTAATGTGGAGAATAATATTTTTCAAAAAATTACTGTTATAATTTAATATTTTTCCAAAACTGACCAGAAACGACTCCTGCATGTATCGATTTCATAACTTTAATTACATCGTAACAGAATAATGAGTTACTAAAACGGAATTTTAAAGATAACATCTACACGTCGGTAGTAATTACTCGTACGCTGTCGCCTATCCGAAATGAAATGTCCTAATCATCGTCGAACGTCGGTATCCGGTGTATTATGGATTCCGTTTGGAGCAGTAGGACGGGCTCGGTTTCGTCGAGCCTCGGGATTCCGGGACACGATGGCCGGTAATAGGGTCCGTGGCTCTCAAGAGTCCCCGGAAATTACACACAGAAAACGTATCGCGCCGTGGGTCGGCTGGTGCACGGGTTTCGCGTGTAATTTGCAAAGCAACGCTCGAAACTCAATTAACGCGAACGTTTACACGAGGCCTGGAGGAGGAGGAGGCAGTCTAGCTTTTACAAGTGACCGCTGCCACCGCACCGTCTGAAGCAACCACAGCAACGAACAGTTTTGTTTGGTGTATAATGTGTTCGTAAGGGTTTACACACCGTTCCCTGATAACACGTGGAAAAGTTCCAATCGCCGCGGCCTACGATCCGATCGATCGACGAAAGACAGGCGAATACCTTCGCATGTGGAGAGATGCATTGCGGATAACGCAGTAATGACTCGATGCTCGATACGTACCAGCGGCGATTAGTCGGGAAATGTTTCTTCTCTGCTCTTCCGGCAGTCACGCGAGCTCCGGTTTAAACGTTCCCCTCCGTGAGGTGACTAAGCTGAAATCATCTCTTCGAGAATCGGTGAAACGTTTCTCTCGACGGGAACTTTCACTCGCCGAGAGAAACAGGTTGGCCGATTCGCGTCGAAATTCCGGAACCGGTGTACGCGAACGTTTCGTGGAATGAGAATCAACTTTTCAGGCGAACGATGATCAGCTGAAATTTTAAGAGCTGCTTAGTTCAACGTGAACGAATATCTTGCGTCAGTTTTAAAAGGCTTTGGAATTTCATTGAACGTAGGTTGCACGAGGTTATATGTACCTAACCTTTTCGCTGGTGTCGCCATATATGTACACACGTGTGTAATCAAAGACGTTCGTTCGGAAATGCGTGTCATTTCTGTGACTATGTAGTTATCAAATATCGATATCCATGTATAATTCTTCAGCGAAACGATTGAACACGAAATCCCTGATTGGGACATATTTTCTTAATTAACCCTTGGAAGGTGGATTGTCTGGGACGGACATAGCAGGCAAATGCAAGGTTATTTTGAACCATAGAATTTTTGTTCTACACAGGTTCGAAGTGGGAACTATGCATAAAATGTACAAACACGTAAGATCGCACAAACTTACGATTCCTAAATATAATTCTGTTTTCTAATCCTTCCAGACCAAAGATGCAGGCCGCCGACATCCGGTTCACCTTGTACCCGGTGGGCTTCATCATTAGCGCGGTGTTCCTCGCGGCCACGTTGGCCGCTGGTTGGCTGTTGCCGGCTTCTCATCACGTTCTGCACTGGCGGTGCCAGACCCATCATGTCGCCTGCCTGATGCTAGGCGATATTCTCATGGCAATCATTCAGCTGGCCGGTGTTTCCCTGCACGGCGGAAGCTGCAAGGTGCTCGGTGAGTCATCCCATTTTATCGCTCTTTACTTTCCACGGCACCCCTGAAATCCATTGACCGTGTCTCCCCCCTTTCCGTGGGAGCTGCTGGTTTTTCTTCACGGAGATTAAAACAAAATGACGAACGAGATAGCTCTCGCGGGCTGTCATCGGGGTATATACCAGCTTCGCGAGCAATCGTCTATGACTCAGACGCGCGCGTAAGCCTAGTTACGATACTTCAAGGACTATAAGGTGTTTACGTAAAAAGAAAACGAACCAACTTAAGCATTGGAACACGATTCCACGCCCTGAAAGTCAGATTCCGCGATTGAACGATCCATCGCTACTGCGCTAAGAACTTTCAATGCACACGATAATCGAACGTTCCTTGAACCCCACTTCCAGCTGAGCCGAGTCACTTTTGATCCGTGTTTTTAGTCCAGTGATAATATCGCACTCCTGCGAGAAAAGTGTCACAAGTCAGAAATTGTCAATTCTCACTTTATCTCATAAAATATATTCCAATACGTAGTTCTACCATCCAGAAAAATGTCACAAGTTGAAGTCCAATACCTTAAGCGACATGGTATCACTTTGTTTAATATATGAAATGCTACGTGAATGAATCAGTTTATTTTCGCTCTCCCGAAAAATTACACGTTTTCGACTTGTGACACTTTTCTTGCCAGGGTGTGATATAAGTGTCACTAGATAATATTTAAAACTTTAATATGGGTCAAAAGTGACCTGGATCGACTTGTTTTTGGTTGGCGGTTCCAGTCATAACTAGATTATTTCTAAATGTAACAATGAGAAATTTTCACTTGAAGTAAAATACGTCGACGGTCAGTCGCGAAAAGAGCCTATCGCTAAGCTCACAGTCGTCGTCGGGTGAATGATTCGTATTCGACTGCTCAGTGTCGTTTCGAACGCGTGGATGAATAATTTCATGCTCCATCCCCTCCCCTCGGTAAAAAGGCGCGATTTCCGCGTAAAATTAATCGCCATCGAGTCGATTAAATGCGGTTCGAAACGCACCCTAACGCAGCCCCGTGTTTCAAGCCTCGACCCGAATTTTTCTCCTCGCGAACAATCGCGTCCGATTATACGCACCGAGCCGAAGTTATGCGGCTAAATACACCGATGGAATTCGAATTCGCCGGTCGACCGAACGCCGTCGGGGTCCGAAGCTTTATTTGCCGGTTCGTACCCTCGCCCCTCTTCGAGCTGCGGACTAATTATTCGGATAATCGTGGTAATCCCTCGCAAAGCCTCGTTTCGATCGCGAGAATCGATTACCACCGTGCACCTGCGAGCTTGTGCATCGTCTCCTCGTGTCCGGTCCAGGGTCTCTCATTTGCATCTCGTCCCCAATCCTCCAGCCATGATCTCGCCTCTTTCGCAATCTATGTGTGCGTGCCTTCTCGCGAACAGATTCACCTCGGTCCATTTTGCGGGGTTACGGAGGGAGGGACGGTTATGTTGATGCCGGGAAACCGAGGGAATTTGCATGGAGCGTATTTCTTTCCCCTTACGCCCGTAATCCGTTCCGAGTTGGAACCAACCGGACCGCCACGGATAATACGACCACGAGGGGGGAACCAGTAAATGTCCACAGAAATTTTCTGTTTTTTTTTTTTACTTGTTCTTTCGCTGCGACACACACACACAGCTTTCCGTCGTTTATTTCATAAGCAATACGATCTCCCGATGGACACCGAAGGTTTATGACTTCCGGTGGGAGCAGCGTTTAACGTTGCAGCCAGAAGGGCCGGAGCTCTCTGGGCCATCGGGGAAAAGGAGGACTCGTGGGGAAAGGAGAAAGTGGGACGGCCATGCCGAGTGACCCACAATCCGTACTCTTTCGGTGTACTTCTTGTGGTTTTTTTTCTCTCTTCTCGCTGTGTGCACCTTCTTCTTCGCCAGCGAGCGGAAACTTTTTTCGTTCCATTGGATTATCCGAGAGTTTCGTCCGGTGTATGTCTGTTTCGGGGGCCAATCTGATCGCGCTGACGCATCGGAGGATGTAAATCGAATCGATTTGTTGGTTACATTGTCTGAACAAGAATTAATCTGTTGGTATAAAAATTGGTGTAGTAGTTGCTGTTTCGATGTAGATCAGAATTTTTTACTCCTCTTGGTGGGTACTATGAGCCTCTAAATCAGCGGTTCTCAATCTGAGGGGTACGTTCTTGGTTCTTAGGGGTAAACGAAAAGAATTGAAATAATAGAAGCTTTATAAATTACAACCATTTTTCTAATATTGGAGCGTACTATTTATGGAATTTGGTGGTACGCAAGTCAAAAATAATTAGGAACTGCTGTTCGAAAATTTCGCCCCTTTCGTTGACCACGTCGAGTAGAAACAATACAAAATTAAACTAACCAACGATCACCCTCGTTCACGAATCGAAGAGTGAACCGAAACTCATTATTATATCCCAGAGGAAGTATTAAAATTCACAACCATTTTTACCACGTTCGTTTCTATGGTGATCATTCAAGGTACCAGACGCCCGTAACAGTCTTCCCATATTAAAAAATTCATCTCGATTATGCTCGTCGAAATTCAGTTTCCCGATGTTAACTTCGTGTTCGATGGTCTTGACGGTTACACGAGCGGAATAATTCGCGATCGGAAATTTACTCGGTCCTTAAGTCAGTGGTCCTCTCGACCCCGTATTCAAGAGTTCTATTTCCGGCCGATCAGCCAGACAGCGGAATAAATCGACGTTTCCACGAGTCTCGCCGACAGACCCGCGAGCACGGTGTGTGTTTGACTTCCGCGAAAGTTGAAATTTATTTTTCCGTGTCGCGCGTCCGCTCGAAGTTCCCGGAAGCTTCCTCTCCGGGCGCACGTTCGCCATCTGATCGTCACAAGCCTCGAAATTCGACCTGTGCGCGTCTTTCTATAAACGCTCACGCGTTGTTTACGACACAATTCATAGATACAGTGCACGGTTCTCACGTAACCGGATTCTTCTGTGGACGAGGATTTCAAGGATGGAGTCAGAAAAAAACAAGGAAACAATTTTTACGCACGCATCCGGTTGACTGTGCGGTTTTTCGACCGAAACCTCGCGTTCTCCAGCTCGTTGTCGCGAGCCACGTTCTTCTCTACCGGTGTTGAATTACGAGGCCGTGGACACGCGGCAGAATTTCGCGCTGGCATTGCACCGCGCTGCCTCGAACGATCGAGAAGCCGGTTCATCGAGCAACGCTATGTAACGGTAGTCGTTGGTTTTTCTTCTTCAACGGCGGAAAACGTCGATCGTACGTGGAATCGGCTCGATCCGTCCTTGGCTGTGACGAGAAGCTATTGAATAACGGGTTAAACGTTTCGCGACGGCAATTACCCGAGGCTTTTTTCAACGCTTCGGAGGACTGTGTACACCACTCTGTGTTGGTATGCGGTCGAACCGATTACACGCTCGGGTTATGCTGTTTCATTTTATCTCGTGTCTTTTTTGTTTCACGGCAATTGCGAGGGGATTTAGGCCTACTGTCCACTAAGGAGTCTCGTCATAGACACGTCAGCGTAGCGTACAACATTCAGCGCTTGAGTTTCTGTCCATTTGAGCGTATTGGAAGCGTACAAAAAGCTTGATTTTCCTCATTCGCGAAGATGTCGGGCGACGAGGAGGACCTTATCGCCTTATGTTGTAATTATATTCAACAGCGTGAAAGTCGGAAAAGATATTGGTCACATCCTTACATAGAAGAGAACATAAATGATCGTGTATTTCATTTTTTTTTTTCTATAGAATGAATAAAAAGACGTGCAAGAATTTAGTGTATTTGGTAGCTCCGCTAATCAAAAAACAAGACACTAAAATGCGATGTAGTGTTAGGCATGTACAAACATGGCTATTTTTTCTATTTTCTTATATTTCATGGACAGTAGGCCTTACGATCTCGTGGCGCAACACCGTGTATCGTGACGTGGTTATACACGCGTTGCGTGCTCGATTTCGCGCCAGTCGTGTGTCCCACGGTAGCGAAAATCTTCGATCCGCGAGACGATGAAACAGTTTTGTCCTTGAAGGATATCCTGGGAGGCTGTAAAATGTTTCTGTAATTGTTTTCGATGTCGTCGAGCTAGTTAGAGCGAGGTCGGACGATTCATTTCCAGCGGAGGACATCGTTGAATCTCGTAATCGAAAGTTTGTCGTTACACTAAAAAGGATGAGCTTCTTCTAGTTATTTCAAATGATATATTCGAGTCTCCACTTCGACTCGTTGACTCTGTCCAACGTTAAGAAAATATAGAACGTAATTTCGCGTGTGTTGGAAAAAACCTGACGGAACGGACGAAAAGAAAGGCGCACGAAGAGAGACACGGTCATTTCGTAGAGTCGTCATCCTCCGAGACGTTATAAATACGGACGAGTGACCGGTGAAAAATCGAGGAAAGAGCCCTGCTACAGTCGAGAGAACAAATACGAGTTGCGGGAACAAAAATTCGTGACTTTTCGTTGAGGGAATGGACGTTTTTGCCGTCATTAATTCCGGGTGGGATATCGTCGCCGTCATGGCGCGGGGGCGAGTTTCTTACTTGTTAAGAGACGACGGGGGCGCAGAGATTATGGATCCGTATCCTCTGGACGGACGAGCGAGAACGAATGAAAGGAGAGAAATAAAGAAACTGAACGAACCCGCACGTTTGTCGAGACTTATTCGGTGAACGATCGTGAATCGAGGAAGCGGCTCGCCCGTAAATGAGAAGATCTTCGTCTGACTAGGATATATCATGGGATTAAGAGATCACCAGAAACCAAACTGACTTTTAAGGATGAGAACCGCGAAAAGGAATCGAAACTAGTTTAAATTAATCTTTACACTAATGAAGCATCAACTAAATTTCCCTAACCCTTCAAAAAGATGGGATTTAAAACGGTGAAACCGGTCATTTTACTGGTCGTGGTACATTTAGTGTAAAACCAGAAACGACATTGCTCGAGTTTGTATGCAAATCAATTGCATGACGCTACACCACGGAATAAAAAATCGTTTCGTCCG